GTACCTCAATACCCTTTTGATGGCTTCCCAGTGGTACACAGTAGGCTTACCCACATGTCTTGACAGCAAGTTAACTGGCAGGGCGATGTCTGGCCTGGTCCAGTTCGCAATGTATAGTAGGGAGCCTATGGTAGATCTGTATAATGTGTTGTCCTTGAACGCCTCAGCCTCATTATACATGTCCTTCAAGAAATCTGGTTGCATTGGTGTTTCACACCCCTTGGCGTTTGTCATGTTGCATTTATGTATTAGTTCCAAAATTTTATCCTTCTGTGACAGTTGGAAACCTTTGCCTGTTTTTGTGATTTGCACCCCCAAGTATTTATCTACCTTACCCAATATTTTTAGTGTAAAGTGTTTTCTCAGCTCATTGGCGAAGTTATTACATTTGCTAGCTTGATCACCGATATACAATATATCGTCTACGTATATCAAAACATACTCGAGGGAGCTGTCTGACTTCTTGGTGAAGAAGCAGTTGTTGGCCGAGGTGGCTGAGAATCCCATGGATTTCAATGTCTTGGATAGACGCTCGTACCAACGTTTCCCCGACTGTTTGAGTCCATACAAGCTTCGGTTTAGGATCCAGGTTTCTCCCTTCTTGGTGTTTTGGCTAGGTGGCGCTCTCACGTATATCTCTTTATCGAGCTCAGCGTGCAGATAAGCGGTTTGCACGTCGAATTGATGCACTTCTAACCCTAGCAGTGATGCGATTACCAGCGCACACTTCACGCTCTCAGCCCTGACTGTGGGGGAGTACTTTTCCGTGTAGTCATCAGGATATTTCTGGGCGAACCCCTGTGCCACCAGTCTAGCTTTGTAGAGCGCTTTGTTTCCCTCTAGTGTTTTAACTTTGTAGACCCACCTAGTGCCTATGGTCGTCTTTCCTATTGGGACTTTAGAGGGAGTGTATACGTTTAGTTCCCTCAGGCTGTCCATTTCCTTTTCCATGGCCTGTTCCCATTTTTCTCTCTCCTCATCCGGTAACCTCAGTACATCCTCATATGTGTTGGGGGTTAGTTGGTTAGTGTGGAGGGATAGTACGTAGTCCCCTAACCTTTCTGGCCTTTTGCCCCTGTTTGCCCTGACTGGCCTGTCAGGAGGTGTCTCTGTGTCATGCATGTACCTAGCTTCTCTCTCGGTGAGTGAGTCCACTTTGATGCATGGGTGGTTTTCTTTCCATCCCTTCACTGGTATTTCCTGTCCTTTGGGTTTATTCTTTCCCTGTTCAGTGCCCCTTCCTGCTTGGTGCTTTATTTCCCTTTGATCATCCCCTGGTCCATCCTTGTTAAGGGACACCTCGTTGAGATGTATTTTGGACCAGTTAGTGTTTTCGTGAAAAACAGCTGTTCGTGATATCACGAAATTGTTGCTGCTGTCTATGAAACCTGTATCCCTTCGTCCCTGGTTCATAGCCCATGAACCTCACCCTCCTGGATACCCTGTCTCCCTTACGTCTGAGTTGTTTGGGGATGTGCACATCTGCTGTGACCCCGAATATGTGTAAGTGTGACACCTGTGGTTTCCTTTGGTACATTAACTCGTATGGAGTTTTATTCAGTACGCTGGACCATAGCCTGTTTAAAGTATAATTTGAATAAATGAGTGCTTCGGACCAGAAATGCTGCCCTAGGCCGGCATCCTCTAGCGCGCACCTCATCATGGTCTGTAGTGTTCTGTTTTTTCGTTCTGCCACGCCATTCTGAAAGGCGGAAAACGGAGAAGTCGTGTAATGGACCATCCCGCGTGCCTTCAGCCACCGCGAGAAGTCGCTTGATAAAAATTCAGACCCCCGGTCTGTCATTATTTGCCTGATTTTGGTGTTGTGCTGTGTCTCCACCCTCGCATAGAATTCCTTAAATTTTTGGAATACCTCATTCTTGTGTTTTAGGGTGTACACGAAGCCATAGCGGCTGAAATCATCTACTATGGTCAGGAAGTACCTTTTCCTGTACTTGATGGAGGGCCTTAGTGGTCCCACTAGATCCATATGTACGAGTTGGAAGATCGAATTAGTTGTGCGTACTGACTTTTTGGGTCTTGGTTTGGTTTTTAATTTGGAGCTCTTACAAATAGAACACTCGAGGTAGTTCTCACAATTCTTTATTTTTATACCTTCAGAGCATTCCAACATTTTCTGCACCACGGGAAAGCTAATGTGTCCTAGTTTTCTGTGTAATAGGTGGGCACAGTTGTCATGCATCAGTTTTCCTATCGCTGGTTTCTCCTCCCTGGGTGCCCCCTGCTCACTGGGATCATCAGTGGTGTGTGCGTGCCTAACCCCTTCTACTTCCCCACTTGTGTTGTCTGAGCTATTGGGTCTAACCCCTCGGTGATTGTTTACTTCTGGCTGTTTGTCCTTGGCTGGGTGGAAGAATGGTAGTTCCCCACTGACTACTACTTTCCCTATCCTTTTACCCCCTCTAGTTACCTGTGCCTTTCCTTCTTTGAAAGTCACCTCGACATTGTTATCCTTGCTCAGTTTTAGGGTGGCAAGGATGTTATATGGTATATTTGGCACTAAAAGTACTCCCTGTATCACACCTATTCCTGGCACGTATGCGTTACCTTTGCCTGTTACTTATACGTTATTCTGGTTAGCCACTTTTACTACAAAGCTTTCTCCTGTAAAAGAGGTTAGTAGATTGCGGTCGTATGTGGTGTGGTTTGTGGCCCCTGAGTCCAGTAGCCATGTGCCTTCCTCCTTGTCCTGGCCTATGCGTCGTTCTTGATCCCCTATGCCATACAGTGATCCAGTGTGGCTCTCCCTGGAACTGTCCCTGTGATCTCTCCTGTCCCTGGGGCTAGGGGAATCCCTACGCCTGTGTCTGACCTCTGGTGAGCGTCCGCTGGTATGTCTTGCCCTTTGTTCTGGTCTATCTCTTCTATGTACCCTGTCCCCTGTATTTTTAGGGCAGTCCCTTTTGTAATGGTTTCTTGATCCACATATATAACACTCTGTGTTGCTGTGGTTTCTACCCTGTGGCTCAACCTTCCTGCTGGGTCTTTGCTCCCTGCGGCTTAGAGAGCGGTCCTTTCTGATGCTATCTTCGGATATTAGTTTGCTTGTTAGTAAATCCAGTGAGAGCCTCCCTGTCCCTAGGTTGTCTATCTGTGTAATGAAGGTGTCCCAACTGGGGTCTAGGGAATTTACTATGATACTTATCATGGTCCTCTCGCTTATGACCTCCCCCCTTTGTGTCAGCTGGGCCCTGGTGTTATTTAGTGATAGTAAATGCTCGCTCATTGGAGTCCCTGCCTTGAGTTTGGTGGCATAAAATTCCCTGGACAGTCTGGTGGTGCTGGCAACGCTTTGGCAGTAAAATAGTTTGTGCATTCTCTGTATTATTTCTAGAGCAGTCAGGTGGTGGCTAATGCTGGGGTAAATACTCGGGGTAATGCTGGCAATGACAATACAGTATGCTTTGTGGTGGATGCAATCTAATTCAAAAGTCCAGGGTTTTTCTGGGGGGTCTGTAACCATGGACAATAGGTCTTCCTTTAGCAGAGTGGCTTGGAGCTGTTGATTCCAGTCCAGGAAATTCTCCCCATCTAGCCTTAGTTTGGGAAAGTCACTGGGCAAAGTCCCTGAATTGTAAGTTAAATTACTTACATTATGTCGCTGTCCATGGTTCCTCACGTAAGGATACTCACAATAAGGCAGAGGAACGACTGTGGCAAGTCTGAACTGACTTGTCTCTATGTGCTTGCGTCGGTGTAGCTCTATGTCCTGTTCCGTTTCTCTTACAGGGGCGTGCTGCGCATGCGTGAGGTTCATTTCTCCCCAGTCGCCGTGGAGTGAGGAGCTCGTCCATGCTGCTCCCGGGTGAAGGCCCCAATCTTCCGGATGGGCCTTCAGTTCCTTCCCGGTCGGCCTCGCTTGCTCGGGATCGTCGCGGATTGCCGTCTGGAGTCTCGGAAAGCGGTGAGGATCGTCGGTAGACGCTGGGAGTCCCGCTGGGGCCGCGAATGGTCCCGGATGGCCCGGCCTCGTGCGGATGCCGCCTGTGGGTGTCGGGCCGAGCCCCCTGCCCGCCGATGGACATCCCCTGCCTGCGGATGGCCTCGTGGTCCATGGATCTGGTCCCGGTCGTCGGTCCGGTGAGTAATCCCATCGCCCTTGGTGTCCCGTTTTTGTGGGTAGGCTCCTTAGGGGCTCTGGGTGGCCCTGGGTTCATGCGATGGTGGTTAGTTCCCCAGGGTGGGTGTCGGTGCCGGCCCTCCTCGCGCTGGGGTCCCTTTTGCTTTTTGGCCTGGCACCGGGGTGTATGGTCGGTATTTTCACCTTGTCCCCTAGGGCCGCGGCGATTAGTTCGATGGCTTTATTGACCTCGGGCTCGGTAGGCGGGCCTGTAGGTTTTGGTTTTGGGCTTTTGTGCTTTTTGCAGTATTTTTGGTCGGTTGTTTTTGAGTAGGCCCCGATTCCCGCCATGGGATTTAAATCTCAGGAGTCTATTGGTGGATGGTCGGCCATCTTTGATGACGCCACCTCCCAAGATGGCCGCCGTAAAAAGGGCGCGAAGTCTCCTTCGGCCTTTGCGGTGGGTTTTTGGTGGGGGAAATCTTCCCTTACCGGGTCTTCGTCGCTGTAATCGGATTCGTCTTCATCTTCCTCACTCGCTGCTTCGCAGCCTTTGATCAGGCTTCGGAGTTCCGCGATGAGGTCGGTGTTGCTTTGTGACGAATCTATCAGCTCCAGGAGTTTTCCTTTTAGGTCGTGCATCTCTTCTTTTGAGGTTTCGTGTTTCGTCCACCCCTCGTTGCTTCTGGCCGGGGTGGATGGATGGTGGAGTAGGCCGCTCGTCTCGGGTGCCTCTCCTTGCATGGTTTCGGGTTGGGCAGATCGTTCTGCCATCTTCTTGGTGAATGCTCTGGTATTCACCCTGTCCGTTGTGGTCCTTTGCATGCTGTGGAGTATTAGGATTGGGCTATCCAACCATCCTCTGCTACCATATTGTTAAATGTGTTCGAGGATCATGCCCAATAACTCCATAGACAGGTTTTCATTAGATCAATTACTGTTTATTAATTATGCATCTTATCGTTACAGGTACAAGTCTGGAACTGAAGCAGGACCGCATGGCTGACCCTTAAGTACCCCCAGGGCGTGGCTAAGGTAAGGAGGGGTTATTGGGTTAGGGTGGACCTTGGGGGCTGGCTTGCCCAGCCCCCCTGCCTCTAGCTCTGGATCAGAGGCAAGGCATTTATTCATGACAATTTTAAACCCTAGTGACGCAGGAAGAATCCCATCACACAGTTTTGCTTGTGGTGACATATTTTGTAATCTTCCAAATCCTTTTAGAATATAGTGTTACACTTGTCTAGCTGAAATGAGTTCAGTGGGTTTGCCAGGTTAGGATTTTTTCTTACCTGCAAAGACAGTTCAGTTTCCATTCTATTTTGCTAGGGATGGGAATGGGGGTGGGGGTGGGACCTAATTTATCTCTTAATTTATGAAGTCCTCAAGTTGGAGAGGGCCCCCCAAGGCCACACTGCTCTTTGCAGGCCTCCCACTGAAACATACTGGACATCACTGGTTCCCACTTGAAGAATTATACTTCCAGACTCAAATTGCCCTTTTTGCTAAAAATTCCTTCCACCTCTCCCAACATAATCTGTTTCCTATCATCTAAATCCATTATTCTGGAAAAGACATTGATGGTGACCTTCCTCACTAACAGCAATTTTTCAGATAATTGTAGAATACCATAATCCCCCCCCCCCCAACCAAGTCTCTTTTCTAAAGGTGAAATATCTCCAGGACTTCATTTTCTCTTCACCATTCCTCTGATTATCATATTTTTCTCAGTCCCATCAAGATCATTTTGAAATTTATTCCAGTTCTCCTGCACCCTTTTTCCCCCACTAACAATGGGATATATTCATATTTTGCTGAAAGGCCTTTTCCTTCTATTGTTGAGGTGATTGTTTTTGCTTCTAATTTGACCATGATGGAATTCCTCAGCAGACACCTGCAAAAGCTGCAAATGGCGCCCAGTCCACGCATGAAGCCACAGTAGGACACTGTTGTAAGAGAACGGCAGTTGGCAGTGATTGGGAGTATCCTGTCCACTGTTATCAGGAAATTTACCCTTCCCTGAAATTGGCATGGTTTTATTCTTAAATTTTATTCTGAAGTTCTTCTCAGGTTTCAGTTGAAGTGACCCTTATATGCCAGCCCTTTTGTACTGTGACAAAGATGTGGCCTTACCCATTTGACTGTTATGACGAGAACTGCTGTGCCGATCGGTCCGGAGTAGACACCGTATCCCCATCGGTCATGGTAGATCCTGACAGCTATGGTAAGCGCTCCAAACATCACCAAAGTTGATCGTTTGGGTTCATCAAACTCTGCCAGAGCTAATAAAATGATAAGAATTGAAGTACAACCTCATTTAAAATCCCAACTCTTACCAGAACACTTTTAAAGGTTCCCTGGAACAGCACCCTAGTTCACCTGATGTAAAAAAAACAGGGTTAGATCTTGGTTGCTGTTTCAGTGGAGCCAGTTGGAGAAGGGGAGGCTGAAGAGGAAAACCATGATGTGCTCTATGGTTTTAATACTTGAGGGGCTGCCACAGAGAGGAGGAAGGGGGTCAAGCTATTTTCCAAGGCACCGGAAGGCCGGACAAGGAATAATGGATGGAAACTGAAGAAGGAGCTATTCAACCTGGAAATAAGGAGAAATTTTCTGGTAGTGAGAACAATCAACCCATGGAACAGAAGTTGCCTTCAGAAGTTGTGGGAGCTTCATCACTGGAGGCTTTCAAGAAGAGGCTGGGCTGCCATCTGTCAGAAATGGTATAGTCTCCTGCTTGGGTGGCAGGGGGGTTGGACTAGGTGACCTACAAGGTCCCTTCCAACTTTCTTAATCTGTTAAATCTGTTTGGGTAGACATATTATCACTCCCAAAGCCCTACATGGCACAGAGCTGGGACAGGAACATATGGTCCATGGGCTGCATCTGAAACACCACCAAAATTACCCAAAAAGAAAGAGCCACCTGGCCCACAGGCCTGCCTCCTTCAGAGCAAAACTTTCCAAATGGTTTCCTCCCCAGAGTCCTCCCAAGTATCATTGTAAATATTTGTCACAAGTGGGGTTTATTTATTTATTTATTGAATTTATATTGCTGCCTATTCGCTCATGGCAACTCAAGGCAGTTTACAGAATATAAAACCACATTTAAAACAGGGGTGAAATGCTCCCGGTTCGGACTGGCTCGGGTGAGTAGGTAGCGATGATGGCCGGTGGTTCGGAGAACTGGTAGCAATGGAAGCTGGAGGCTCCAGCCACCCGCCCCATTCCCCGGAGTCGGGGAATGCACCATTCCCCAACTCCTACTGCTCATCTTTCTCCCGCAGCTGGCTGTCAGGGAAGGCAAATGCCCGAAAGATACCGGAGTCGCTCACTCTCCTTCCTGAATGAGCCGCTCTGGTCCATGCGCTGGCTGCACAAGCGCACACTGTTTACTTAATTCAGCGGCAGGTTGGATGTACACTTGTGCAGCCGGCGTGTGGACCAGAGTGGCTCATTCAAGAAGGAGAGTGAGCGACTCTGGTACCTTTCGGGTGCTTGCCTTCAATGACAGCCAGCTGTGGGAGAAAGGTGAGCAGTAGGAGTCGGGGAATGGTGCATTCCCCGACTCCGGGGAATGGGGCAGGTGGGCGGAGCCGTGTGGCGAAGGGCGAGCGGCAGCGGCTCCGCGGCAAGGCCGGCATCGGGGAATGGTGCATTGGACCAGAGCGGCAATTGTATCTGAACGGCCCCAACTCTGACCCCCTTTAGATGGACCGTGAAGACCTGACTCAAGTCCTGGCTTTGGCTTACAGAGAGATAAGGGCACTCCATCTGAGGGGGTTGGTAGTCGCTTCCACTATCTGCTTTGTTTTGTGGTCTGGCATCTTTCTTTTTTTGCAATACAGAATAACAGGGTTGAAAGGGACCTTGGAGGTCTTCTAGACTAGAGAGAATTCACGAAGATTTCCTATGCAGTTTGGATTGTTCCCTACTCCTTCAGGTGTCCTTAATGCCCCTCCCCCCATGCTCAAAAGAAGCAGCCCTTCTGGCTTACCTATCAGTGAAACCCACATAGATAAAGCGGTTCCAAAGATGCTGAAGTATTGCAGGAGATCGTACTTCATGAAACAAAGGAAGGTGAGCCCAGGGCCTTCGCAGGCATGGCAGACCTGGTGGGAAACAGTGGCTTGTTTATTTCCAGGGTTTCTGTGATAAAAATTGTAATTTAAAAAAATTGCATCTGAATCCTCTTGTTTGAAAAGCAATTAAACACCCACCCACCCTTTACTTCATCAGGCTATTCCAGAGAGTTGGTGCCATGGCAGTAAAGATCCTGATCATCTGTGGACAAAAGTTTTATAGCCTCAGAGGACGAAGGTAAGTTTTAAGATTCTTTGCAATTTATATCATTAAACATTGAAAGCAGTTCTTTGAAACAAGAATGTTAACCAATGTGGAACTTGAATGCCCTCCGGCTCCTTGCCTGACCTGACTTTTTTTTTTTTAATCCTTTAATTAGACTTGCATGCTTCTGGCCCTCCTGGACCATAGGCATTCTTTAGAAATAAACAGCCTGGTGTCTTGATTGATATTCACTCAAATAAACAACAAAGACTCATCAGAGTAAGAAGTGTGTAGGTATAGATGCTGAAAAAGTAGTCAGTGCTATGCAGGAACCACATTAACAGTTTTCCATTTCATTTCTGTCAGATGTGCAGACTGCTGTCTTGGAAGAGAGCTCTAACTGATACACTGGAGAGAGAGAGAGAGAGAGAGAGAGAGAGAGAGAGAGAGAGAGAGAGAGATACAGTGGTGGGATTCTGCCGGTTCTAGGGGGTTCGGCCGAACCCTTTGTTAAATTGCTGGCTCACCCCGCCCCTTGCCCCGCCCCTCCGCACCACTATTTATTGCCTATAAATAGTGGTGGGCGAGGGGCGGGCGAGCCAGCAATTTAACAAACAGTTCGGTGTTTTTTTGTAATTTTATTGGCCCGCGGAGCTTCAGCATAGGCTAATTAGCCCCTTGATTCTATCGGCCTCCCGACTCTCAACTGATTTGCTCTCAGCTGTTTTGCTCAGGGCTCTGCTGCTTGCTTGCAAAGAGTGCAGATTTTTTTTCCCCTATCTATGCTGAAAAACGAAACTGAAAGTAAAAGCCTGCTTTACTGTTGCTGCAACGTTGGAAAATTAGGCAGGCAGATTTCTTTTCTTTTTCCTCACCAAAAAAGGTAGGTGCAAACTACCTTTAGTGGAAAGGTAGTTTTCCCTAAAGAGGTAATTCCTCTTTAGGGAAAAAGAGGAGAGTTCAAGATTTTAAAACACAAAAGAAAAAAAGCTCTATTTAAATAGGGAATTGTAATAATTGAGATACTATTAATTGTATATTGTGTTGAAAGCAGAAATTGTTAAACTGTGGTTTGGAGGAATATATGGGGGAAATTATTTGGTTTATTATTATTGGTAAATATAATTAATTGATTTGTAAGAAATTGGATTGCATGGAAATAATTGGAATATTCATGTTCATATTGATTAATATACAAAAAAGATAGTTATATAACTAATTGATTTATATTAAAATGCTGAATTTATATTAAACAACTGTAATATTACATAATTAACCAATGTGATGATGGATATAAAAATAGATGACAATGAGAAGGGGTATAATATAGAATAGAAAGGAAAAATTTAATTTGATTAAGATTAGAGATGAGGATGAAGGGTAATATTGTTTTTTTTTAAAAAAATAGATAAGGAATAAATATGGCAAAAAGCAAATATAGAAATTGTAAATTTAATTGAAATGACTAAACACTGTGTTGGAAGAAATATCCTTCTGGGGATGTTTAAATTTGTGAACCAGCCAAATACTCTGTTCAAAGAAAATTACATTGTATGTTTGTATGTGTGTTTCTAATTACTGCTATTTATTCATATTTATTCTCTTTTATTCTTTAAAGTTTAACAATTCATTCTTTATCTTAATATCTTTATATTTGTTTGGGGTTGCCTTTCTTCCATTTCATCTTTTTTACTGTACAGCAATCTTTCTCCTCAAACCTACCACCTCTCTCTTTTCTTTCCTTCTTACTTTCTCTTCCCTCCTCTTCTTCTCCTCCTCTCTTCCTCCCTCTCTTACCCTCCCTCTTACTCTAATTTCCCTTCCTCCCTTCTCTTCCTTCCCTGTCTCTCCTTCTTTCTTCCATCTCTCTTCTCCTTCCTTCATCCCTCTCTATTGCTGTATCCTTTTGTGCATATGGATTACTCAGAGGGCTGAAAAAGTTATTTTTGACCGGTCCTCGCACTTTTGACCAGTCCTCGCACTTACAACTGTACTCACATTTTATGTTTTGAGCCCTATCTTGTCACTGTGGTGAAGACAATTAGTGGTGAAATGACTGACACAGTTGTTAAGAATGCTGCAACGGGCATAAATGTGAGGAAGGTCATAAGTGCGAGGACCGGTCAAAAATGTGAGGACCAGTCAGAAATGACTTTTTTCAGCCCTCTGAATAGTCCCTATGTGCATATGGACTAGTCAGAAGGCTGAAAAAGTTATTTTTGACCGGTCCTCGCACTTTTGACCAGTCCTTGAACTTACGACTGTCCTCACATTTTACGTTTTACGCCCTATTTTGTCACCATGGTGAAGAGAAGTAGTGGTGAAATGACTGACACGGTTGTTAAGAATGCCGCAATGGGCATAAATGTGAGGATGGTCATAAGTGCGAGGACCAGTCAGAAATGACTTTTTTCAGCCCTCTGAGTAGTCCCTATGCACATAGCACGCCCACCCGGTTACATGACAAGCTAGCCACGCCCACCCAGTCACATGACCACCACACCCACCCAGTCACATGACCAACTAAGCCACGCCCACAGAACCAGTTGTTAAAAATATTGAATCGCACCACTGGATAGATAGATAGATAGATAAGATAGATGTGTGTGTGAGAGGGAGGGGGGAGGGAGGGAGAGAGAGAGAGAGAGAGAAAGAGAGAGAGAGAGAGAGAGAGATGGAATGGTTTCCACAAAAACTCGAAACTTTCCCTATGAACATCCTGCAATACCTGGTTGCTTCTACTGGCACCAAAACCTTCTCTGAAAACTATTCTTGGTATTTTGCATTTCCCTTCTTGTGTGTAAAGGATTTTTTTCCCAGGCTGTTGCTTTTTTCAGGCCACAAAACAACTTGCTTTTTTCAGGCCACGAAAGACAAAGGTCCCTGGTTGAACTGGGACTTGGTTCAAAATATATAATAGTCTCCAGAGTTTAACAATTGTAGTCTGTTACAGGAAAAAGAACAAGCCTCAGACATGCATTGCGATGTGGGTTAACCAAACATGTGAGAAAAGGATACAGAGGGAGAAAAGCAGGCAGCTGTTCCATCCGAGAATACACACTCACCCTCTCTCTTTTTTATGAATGAGAATTCTTGGCTAAAATGGTTAGTGGGAAGGAGGACTTACCGAGACAAAGAACATGGTGAAGAAGTAGACCATGGCCTCCATGTGGAACTGCCTCTTGGCTGCGATGCTGACGGTGGGGAGGAAGGCCAGGCTGCTGACGGTGGGCAGGAGGAACTTGGCAGCTAAAGAGCCCATTGGGAGGAGAGCAGCTCCTACCCCCGAGGGCTGCCCAGGAGACTGGGGAGCCAAGGCCAGGCCCTGGCTGTGCTGAGGAAAGAAGGCAGCTGGAACTGAGGACAGAGGCCTCACACACCTCCCCATCTCTTCTCTTCTTCGATGGACAACAGCCGCAGGGAGCCCACCAGCTGCTCCTGTTCTTGGGTTCCACTTGAACAAATGGCCCCTTCCGTCTCCCAGGAGGAGGCTTCCCTCTGGAGCCAGCTGTCTTTGGAGCAGCTCCTGAGAAGGGCAAATGGGGCGGGGGAGGAAGAGGAGGTCACCCTTGGTCATTGATTGCTGAACCCTTTGGAATAAACTGTTCCCCATTGGGAGGAGGAGAAATCCGGGATCTGGCCCAGGGCAGAAGGGGATTTGATCTGCAGAGGGTCCTTCTTCCTCCAGGAAAAGAGGCCCTTGCTCCAAGGAGGTTTTGGGAGGGGTTGCTGAGGACAGACTCCCGGGCACATGGTTCCCAGCTGCCTGGGAGCCCCAAGGTAGTACAGTGGTTTAATGCACCCTGTTATTAACACAGCTGCCTGCAATTTCTGCAGGTTCGAATCTTACCAGGCTCAAGGTCGACTCAGCCTTCCATCCTTTCTAAGGTAGGTTAAATGAGGACCCAGTTTGTAGGGGCAATAAGCTGACTTTGTATAAATATACAAAAGTATGAAGGCTATTGCTTAACGCATTGTAAGCCGCCCTGAGTCTCCAGAGAAGGGCGGCATATAAATCAAATTAAAAAAAAAAAAAAAGGTGCTCTCCACCTTGTCAAAGCTGTTTCCTGGCCTCTTTAGGGGCTAGCTGCTAGGTACAGCAAAATACCAGACTGCACCCTATATAAGGAAATGTAAATGCAAGTAAAACACAATTAAGACACGGGACAATGTAATGGCATACATTCCAAAGCTTTATTATTTCTTGTCTATCAGATATGTATGCCACCCAACTCCCAACCTAAAACAAAGTCTCAAAATAAAAACCAGAATATGATCAGAATAACCCCCTGGTCAAGCAGGAGACCCTATGCTACTAATTAATTAACCATTAATTAATTGTATACCTATTCAAAAACATAAACGACTTAGATGAGGGAATCCTAAATCGTATTAACAGAGGGATACAACCAAGATCAAGGGAGGTACTACTACCACTCTATAAAGCGACCACACCTAGAGTACTGCATCCAGTTTTGGTCACTACACTATAAAAAAGAGGTTGAGACTCTAGAAAGAGTGCAGAGAAGAGCAACCAGGATGATTAGGGGACTTGAGGCTAAAACATACTGTTAAGGAATTCGCAGAGTAACCCTTGAGTAGCAAGGGTGTGCACATGAAAGCGATTGAGAGTAGTTATGAATAAACACAGTAAACACACAGATACAGTGAGTTGTGTTTACTTTCAGGAAATAGTAAGGCACAGTCCACTAAACAGTCCAGGTCATACACATATAAAGCAGGAGATAGCCAAAACGACAGTCCAGGGATAATTCAATTAGAAAGTCTTCTTACCAGTTGTCGTCGTCATTCACAATAAACAGTTCCTCTGGATTTGCAAACAGTATCATACAAAGATATCAGAGCAAGAACAGCAAAGAGAACAAACCATGTTAAGGACTTCTTAAGGACATTGGCTACAGAGCTAACCAATCAGGACACAGTATGATGCAATACAGCAGTCTTAAAATTATATTGATGGTTTATATATTGCCAACCCAACAAGTTAGGTAATAGTCACTTCCTAACACATACAATGAATGGTTGCAGGAACTGGGCATGGCTAGTCTAGTGAAGAGAAGGATCAGGAGGAGACATGATAGCAGTGTCCCAATATCTCAGGGGCTGCCACAGAGAGGAGGGGGTCAAGCTGTTTTCCAAGGCACCCGAAGGCCAGACAAGGAACAATGGATGGAAACTGACCAAGGAGAGATTCAACCTGAAAATAAAGGGATTTTCTGGCAGTGAAAACAATTAACCAATGGAACAGAAGTTGCCTTCAGAAATTGTGGGAGCTTCATCACTGGAAGCTTTCAAGAAGAGACAGGACTGTCACCTGTCAAAAATGGTGTAGGGCCTCCTGCTTGGAGTAGATGACACCCAAGGTCCCTTCCAACTCTGTTAATCTGTTAATCAAGACTAAATTGCAAAAAAGAAGCCCTTTCCTGGAAAGGACCAGTGCAGCTCAAATGGGAATGGGGCTCCCCTGGACTTCAGAGTTGGCTCAGATCAACCCAGGGTGGGAGAGTCAGGCAAACATCCGGATGGTTGAGTTCAAGGTGACTTTGCTGGTAACGCTCCCCCCCCCCAGGGCCTCCTTTTGTCTCCCTCTTCAGTTCCCAAGTGACCTGGCCATCTCTTAGGGACTCTGCTGGTGCAAAAGAACATTCAAGGTGGAACTGAAGCCCATTCAGGCCAGGAGGCTGAGGAAGCACTGTGGGGAGAATCAGGAGAAATAAGCCCACTCATGTTTTCTGTGCCACTTTCTGTTTCTGTTCCTTGCAAGCCTTCCATGAATGTCTTCCAGGGTGCCAGTGCATGACACAAAAACCACACTGACTCACCCACTGCAAGAGGTATTCCCTTGTATGTTTTGCTGTTGGGCATTCAGATGCTATCTACATTTTTTCTTTCTGTCATGTGGAATGTTTATTTTTTCTTCTTTTCTAAGAACAAAATAGATTATGTCAAATTTGGCCCCTGTGAAGTTAATTTCCCAGGTCCACATCTCGGGCACAGAGCCAGGAGGATGGCACTACAGAATCCTTCTGTTTGACAAAGTTATATTTTCCTTCTTCTATTTCCTTCCTTTTGCTCTCTTGCTTGCTGGCAAGACTTGTGGAGCTGCTCTGCCAAGTCAGGGTAAGCAATTTCTTCACAAGATTACAGAACTACAGAGTTGGAAGGGGCCTTGGAGGTCTTCTAGTCCAGCCCCCTGCTCAAGCAGGAGACCTTGTATCATTTCAGGCTGTCCAGTCTTTTCTTGAAAACCTCCAATGATGGAGCACCCACAAGTTCTGAAAGCAAGACATTCCACTGATTAATTGTCCCTAATTCCTGATTGGATCTCTCCTTGATAAGTTTCCATCCATGACCTGCCCCCAGGTGCTTTGGAGAGTAAGTCAATCTCTTCTTCTCTGTGACAAATATTGGAAGACTGCTATCAAGTCATCCCTAGTCCTTCTCTTTGTTAGGCAAGACATACCCAGTGTCAGTTTTGAAAGACAATTTTCTTTTTTGCTTCTAAACTGCCACATATTTTAGCTGGGGAAGTTGAGAGGGGGTTGTTGTTGGAGCAGTAGAAAGTTAGTCATAACAACATTCCGTACTCAAGGACTTTTGCCTGACTTTTGCCTGCGTCTGATGGAGACTGCCTGAAGATTGTATTCGGTGGAGTGTGAAGAGTTGATTGGAAAATGTGATGAACTTGTGGGTGTGGGGCAGGGTTGTGAACTTTTAGCTGGGTGGGGAAACCTGATGTGCCAGATGTGCCAACATGACATCTCTAATAAATTGGAACTTTGAGGAACCTCAGGTCTTGGAGCTTTATTTTGTTGGGGGTATTCCTTGGAATCCTGACATTAACCTGAATCTCCTAAATAACTAAGCAGCACCCCGAAAGGGGGCTGAATGGGGGTTCTGAGGCCCAGCACTAACCTAAAGCTTGGGTGGTGCAAAGATTCAGCGAAGATGGAAGGGAGAGAGAAGATTGCAGAGGGAGCACATACCGGAAGGTTTATTGAGACCCGGTATTCTCCTTCTGAAGGTGTGGTTCAAGCCCTTGAAGCTGCAGAGGTGATGCAAAGCCTAGGACAGTGATGGCTAACCTTTTTGCAATCGCGTGCCAGGAGAGAGGTGGGTGGGGGAGGGTCACGCGCGCACTTGCCCACGCGCATTTGTGCGCAACCCCCTCCCCCCCACTCTTGGCACATGATGGCCTGGTAGGCCCGTTTTTCTTTCTTACCTGGTTCCAGATCCTCTCTGTGTATCTGGGAATGGCGAAAACAGCCTTTCCCACTCCCTTGGAGGCCCTACGGAGGCTGAAAAAGCCCATTTCCCAACTCCCGGTGGGACAGGAAGTGACATTTTTTGCTGTCCCCAGCCTCCAGAACCTCTCTAGGATTCTCTAGGAGCCTCTCTAGGAGTCTCTGGAGGCTGGGGACAGGAAAAAGGTCACTTCCTGTCCCACCGGGAGTGGGGAAATGGGCCCTTTGAACCTCCGTAGGGCCTCCAAGGAAGTGGGAAAGGCCGTTTTCGCTGTTCCCAGATATACAGAGAGGATCTGGAGCCAGGTAAGAAAAAAAAAATGGGCCTTCCCCCCCCCCCACCCCCCAGGCCCTCCAGAGGCAGGAAACAGCCTGTTTCCCTACTTCTGGTGGGCCCAGAAGGCCCGAAATCAGCTGGCCGGCGTGCGCATGCGCCCCAGAGCTGAGCTGGCATGCCCACTAATATGGCTCCGCGTGCCACCTGTGGCACGCATGCCATAGGTTCGCCATCACGGGCCTAGGAGCTCGGTCCAGGGAAATGGATTCTGGGAAGAGTTGCCAGCCTGATCCAACTCCAGAAATGGGACCGAAAGAACGATCGCCTGGATGTCATACTGTATCCAGCCCTCGTCAACCTGCCTTCATACTACTCCCTGCGGAATTTATCTCCCCAGGCTGGGGATTCTATCTCGGCCAGGGGTGGGTCCAGTGCCAGTGGACACCAGCACCTGCTGCTCCCCCTCTTACAGGATCACCATGGGGACAATTTGCCCCAATGATCCCAGCACTGCTGTGGGGTCTGATCCAGTAGCCAGCAGCGCCGCCGCTGCCAGTTCCAGTTTAGCCGCCAGCATTCACCCCGCCTCCAGCCGCCGTGGCGATTCTGCCAGCAAGGGCCCCGCCACCACGGTTTAGAGCGACATTTGATGGTAAGCCTACCAAACTGGCCAATTTCCTCAGCCGAGTATGGGCTCATATAGATCAGTATGGAAAGCAATACAAAACAGATCACGACTTGGTATCTACGATCTCGGAATGAATGAGGGAGATGCTGCTGACTGGATAGCCCAGCTGCATAATGAAGGGGTTGCTGAATTAAATGATGTGGAAGGTTTTGTTGAGCTGCTCCAGGCCAGATTCGAAGACCGAGATCAAATCAACGAGAGTGAAGTCAAGATAATGGTGATGAGTCAAGGAAATCGTAAATCATAAAGGACTTCATATGGGACTTTAGACGGGTCGTGGGAAACCTTAGACATTGGCTGGACAGAATACTTCTGCATTATTTTAAAGAAGCCATTGATCAAGAAGTCAGAACCGCCTGTGGAATCTGGGGGATGCCAGAGCGACTGCAAGACTGGTAAACCATGTCAATAGCT